AATGTCAAGTCAAAAGTCTTGAAATTCTAAGAGTTCACAGTCTGAATTGTACACACCATTTGAAGAATGGAATGGAATGTCTGTACCTAGAGATTAAAGCCCTTCCTCACCCAAGACAACTTGTATTTTCCCCAAATACATAAACGTATATGTAGCTGTAATCAATTCACTTTGGTCAAGTCGGTGATGTGAAACTAAAAACAATTTTTGCCTACAACATATTTCGGCAGGCAATTGATAGTTGCCTTTGATTGGTTGAGGAAAATGACTATTGGAAGCATTTTCTAATTGACTTTATGTAATCTCACACATAATTCCAGGAAACTAGTTGTTACAACTAACAACAATACATTAAGTACAGTTCGTGTCATTTTCATGGTCCATAACTCTCCTCTTCCTTTTTTTTTTTTATAATTTTTTTTCCTTTTTCAATTTCGGATTCTGTATTGCAGCTCAATTTTATTTTATTAGATACATTGTTCTGAAGTCTGAACTTAACTGCATGTATGTCCCTATCTCTCTTGGTGTTGGCATCCTATGCTTGTGCCTGAACCAGTTTATCCTCATTCCTATGTCTAATTCTCATAAAAAGTTAATGAAACAACTTTGATACCTCAATGCGTGGAGAAAAAACCTGGGATCATAAGGTATAAAATAATAAATTGTATATTCATTTTATGAAGTTTATAACTTGATGGTGATGGAAGGGGAAAAACAAAACTATCTATCTCCCTGATGCCATTGTAATTGTCACATCATTTGAGGATACGATATCTTGAACATCTAAATTAAAGTCTGCATCTATAGAACTCCTCATGGAAGTATAAGTTGGTTGTCTAGGTACTGGAAATATTTGGGATTCTCTATCTAGCATTAACATTACAGATTCAATTTTTGGTCAAAATACTGCAGAATCCAGCACACACAGCGTGCCTACATGCAGCATTTCATAACTTCATTAGGAATTACATGTCCCTAATGGAAAGACCATTGAGCTCCATTGGCTTATTTTCGTTCCAAAGATCCCATGCCTGAAACAAGTTGAGACTCTATTATTAGTGTTGCAGCTCTAGTTGCTTGTAAGAAAAGTGCAGTTTCTAGTTTGAGAGTAGGCTGGTCTAGATAAAAACTGCTTACAGAATTATGTAATCAATCAGGCTGGGGTGATCAGATGAATGAAAGCTAGTGCTCTTCTAACCACTCACAATCTCCAGTAGTATGCCAAGGCTATAAACATCTCACTTTACAATAGCAACCAATTAGGATTAATGTAGTACAAGTTCAAAGGCCATAGAATCCAATAAGAATCAGTGAATGATGATGATTTGCACCAGCAACAGCAGCAATACAATAGCAACAGACTAATTCAACATTTTTCAAATTCATATATTTTGGAATTAGTTTTTTTGTTTAAATCTAACAGCTGATTCTCAATAACAATAACAATAACAGTAGTAAAAGAGTGGGGTTTTCACTAATCAGAAGTTATTGGCCTTCAGCAAGTGACATAGTAATCTCACATATGGGGCATGGATTGTTGTCTTTTGGGTGGATCAAATTTTGATGGATTGTGGAACGTAAAAAAAGGCTTCTTTTGGTTGCAGAAGCTCTGTTTCACTGCTTAGCATGGAAATCACAGCTGCCATGGTTGGCCTATTTTCAGCATGGTCCTGAACACAAAGAAGAGCAACCTGTATGCACCTCTTTACTTCGGTTGAGGAAAGTGAGTCAGCTAGTTTATCATCAATTAAGTCTAGCTCCTTGCCTTTACTCCATAGTTGCCATGCCTGATACAATGTAGTATGGGTCAGTATTAATTTAGAAGGCACAAATAATGCAGAGATGCAAATTTGAAACAAGAAGTGCAGTATTTAAATGGGAAAGAAGGCTTAGATGTTCATCGTTATAGAGGAACCTGGTAACCTTCTTGGAACTAACAATCTCTAATAGCAGAACTCCAAAGCTAAAGACATCTGATTTCTCAGTAAATATCCCACCCAATCCATCAAGCTGTGCTGTCTAGTTACCTTTGTAGAATTATAAAACACTCTTTGAAAAAGACATATATATTATATTACTCACCTTATAAACTGGCCCATATCCTCCTTGCCCTAGTTTATTAGCCATGCTGAAGTTGTTGATAGCAACTGCTATGCTATAAAAATCAAACAAAGGTAGCTCCTGTGGCTCACCTTTTCTAACAATGCCTCTCAACATAGAGTCCAGCAAAGTGTCCCAAGGACTCTCCCTTCCCTTCTAGCATCTGGATCAAAATTTTCCAAGGTTCTGTCTTTTTCACCTGATTTTTCAGATTCAAGTAATGAATTTATCTATTCCAAGCCATGAAAGTAAAGAGCGAATAAGAAAACAACAAAAAAGAAAGGCTATCGTATGTAACAATGTTTTCTGACAAGAAAGTGACATAGGGCTTACTCTCTTGGCTTTTAGCTCAAATACCAGCCTGTGTCTTTCCCCCAACACATTATCTTTAGAGTTCCTTCAGATAAAATGACCATAACTCTCTCTGTGGTGTTAAGACTTACATAGAAATACCCACTTTCTTGATCAGTCAATACAAGACTGATTGCTCTTGAATATGTTGAATCCATACCTGGTAGACCAATAAACTGTAGTTTATTCCACTCCCTGCTTCTCCAGTAAGGCACTGATCCATTCCAAATAAAAGCTTGTGGCGGTGACTGTGGTACAATGTAAGTGACAAAATCCCCTGGTGATTGATCATTATTACTTTTACAGGATGGCAAGACATGTCTCTCAACTGTTTCAAGATCATACTCGATAGCTGCGCCAGGTAAAAAAGTATTAACTTGGTGCTCAAAGCTTTGCCATAACTGCTGTCCAGATAAAACATCCTGTAGAATGAAGTTCCCATTATCCAAAAGGACAGCCACTGAACTATTTGATCAGACAGAGACATTGTTTGACCAGAGAGTTACTTCATTCCCATCTACAAGCTTCAGATTTCCATCACTACCAATCTTTAGACTTGCCAATGAATCAATAACTGGATTCTCTCTATTGGCCACCCAAGCAATTGTGCGAGGAGCAATGTTTTTATACCATATACCAACATACTGATTAGTGGAATTATCAAGATGAAAGAAGCTTAACTCAAAAACTTGGGCAGGGGAGATAAGGATTTCATTTTGTGATAATGGATTGGATGAAGTTATATTATAAGTTGCAGCATAGCAGTGCAAAAGAAACAAGTTCAAAAAGATGGAGATGGAAGATAATAAAGTGCAAAAGCGTTGGTTCTCTGTAGGCATGTTCCTCTGGAAATTGTTTATTCATAAGATCAGGGATGTCAGGATGAATATGTAAAAGCAAGTAGACAATTAATAAGTTCCATTTTATTTTAGGAAAATAATTTCAGTGTTTGTTTGAACTTTCAGTAGGAAAAAAAAATGCTTCTAAGGTATAAGTCAATATATAGTTAGCCTCGATGAATACTGCATCCGATTGCAACAGGACTAAAGATCTCTGCATCCATGTTGCTCCAGATTGTTGTCTTACTCTTTTGGTGATCTCTGATAGCTCTTCTGTATTCAACCAAGGAACCAGAATGGTCCTCAACGCCCCAAGTGTTCCAAATCTGCTATTTTCTGGTTATTTGCTAAGGTCAGAGTATCAAATAGAGAACATAACTGGATGTTCTTCTATCCGGTTCCTTGGGGATGTCATGTTTGAAGCTTGTCGAGAAGTTGGGCTGGATATACCATTCAATGACTACCAGAGCCTAAAGTTTGAAAATCTGCTCCAACAACTTCTTCTCGCCTGCCAAAAAGCAGATTCAGTTCACTTAAGCAATTGGTATATTCAGGTACCCATCTTACTGTGAAATCTGCTTTCTGTACTCCAGCAACTTGTTCAATACTTCAAAGCAAATAACGTCATCTTTTATGAAAGGGGTTAAATTCCTAGAATTGGTATAAACTAAAAACTGTCAGAACTAGTCCCACACCAGAGGATAGTAGAGCCAAGTGAGATGATACAATTTGATGACTTTAACAAACAAAGCATTAACTTTCAAAAATGGAGAAATTTTCGGCTTTCTCTGTATTTGGATACTGTCATAAGAAATCAATGCTCAATGCAGCTTCTTTCTCTAGGAGAACTAAGAAACTTCAGAGGAGTGACTCTATACTACACCAAACTGGAAATCGTCACTTCTTTCAGGAAGTGGGAGCTGCCAGGAATTTTTTACATGTTAAAAGCCTGTCCTGTTCTCAAAGAGCTAGTCATATTGACAGCTATTAGAAATGACAAGATAGAGGTACATCTTTTATATTCTATTTTGATATTGAGATACTTCAACTTCCTTCCTTCACATAACATTAAAATTATCTTATCATTCAATTTCCAAAACTATTGTGCTTTAACAAATACCACATTCCCCAAGATTTCATGATGCAGCATGACTTTCAAGAATACACATACTTGAGAAGCCAACTGGCCTCATTTAAAGGTAAACTGAATATTACTGAAGTTAAAAAAAAAAAATTTTAAGAAAAGTAAATTTGGGTCCAAATCAGTTAGACAGCTGAGGCCCCCACTGAGATTCTCCAGACCAGACCATTTTGGGTGCGTTCTGGTGCAGTCTCATTGACTCATGAGTCATGAGCATATAAACAATTTGATCATATGATATGATGGGTCCCGTCCTATCCTTAATGTACGAAAATATGCTGCCATTCACTCCTCAATGACTAATGGAGTTCCTGATTCGTCTACTCCGTTTCTGTTGTTGACTGAAAAACTTGTTCGAGTAGTTGTCCGATAATTTTCCCATTAAATAAATAATGAATTAAAAAAAAAGAAAAACTTCTCGTTAGTGTATCTGTCGAAGATTTCCGTCTTAATTCAGTGGAAAAGTTAAAATTTATTTTTAAAACAATAAGTGGAAATTTTTATTAGGCAAATCATCGCTCCTTCGATACCTATATTCTCAAATGACCTTTTTCTCGTTGTAGACCTTTCTAAATTTCTCTCTCACGCAATCAATTCCATTTTTCACTTTAATTTTGAGCATCATCGATGCCCCGACCTGGTTAGCGCCAAAGGCCGACAAACTTTGTCGTCTGCTCCAAAAGAGAAAAATTTTATGCTCCTCTTTTAGTTTGTTCTCATATGGCGTGATTGATTGCATTGGTTTTGTGATAGTATTCTAAACATTTTTCGTCCTTCGTAAATTGAAAGATTGATTACGTGAAAATTGTCTTTTTGAATCTAATAATTTATTTTTAAATTTTAATATTTAAATTTAATTAATTAAAAATTTAATTTTTATCAACTACTTAAAAATTATTTACCTTCTTTAATAAGTCTTCGTGTAAATAAAAAAAGAATTGATTTCTATGGAGGGAGTGTTTGCAGTTATCCATAAAAAATAATAACTCATTTAAAGTGATGTTATAAAGATAATTTTTTAATATTATATTTTATATTAGTTTAAATATTATTAAATAAATA